TTGTGTCAGAAAATTGTACTTTTCTGTGGTAGTTTGTTTAATTGTCGCTTCATTAACAAGTATAAAGTCACTTTCAATTGAAACTGCAAGTCTAGTAAAATTTTTGCAGATTCCTAATACGTACTAAATACCCCACTATGATCTTTCATTAGATCGTCTTTGTCTTTATATAAGTAATTTTTTGAGATAATAGACAAACATAGTACTGCGATGTTTTTTGATCTTTATTAGCATTGCTTTTGTTACAAACAGGGGGTCCTTGGGGCGATATAGTAAATCAGAAATGAAATAAATGGTCGTGGATTTTTTAATGTGCACACACACGTACACGCACTAAGTTAGTTAAAATGTACTGTAATATATTAGTCTCGCCGCTGATTTAATTATTTAACAATGAAGTGCAGAGTGAAAATATGGAAATGTGTTATGCGCGAACACCAAAATATGGTCATAAACTCAAAAAAGCCAGCGGAGCGCTTTCAAAACAGAGATAGAAAGAGAAAGGCTGCGCCCGAGGAGGAAGTGGGTTGGGAGAGTAGTAAACAAATGGGTGCGACGTTGGCCAATCACCCGCTGCCCACTTCAGACAACCACATCACATTCAAACAAAGGCATCAACTGCGAAAGGGCGTGGCACTGGAATGGGGGGATGGGTGAGCGGTGATGGGTGATGGGAGCAGGAGGGTTGCTCTGTAATTGCAGCTACGCGCATAATTCATATCAAATGACCATTTTAAAATCCTTTTATTTCGGAGCGTCGAGCAGCCCGAACTCACAGCCAGCGACCAGTCAGCCAACCAACCAGCCAGCCAGCCAGCCAACCAGCCATCCGTACTCACAGCCAAAATATTTGAAATAATAATTCTTCGAGATAAATTACCCAAAAACAGGTGTGTGTGCGCATCTCTAAATTGCTATGGCCCCCAAACTCAAGCGCACTCGCTCCCCCACTCCCTCTCGCCCAGTGACTGTCCCTAACCATCACTACTATTTTAACCCAACGCGGGACAATAAAACACAGCTACAACTACTGAGTGGAGAAGGGCGACTGTCGTGAGTGCGTGACTGTAAAATGAAGAGCTTCACGACACTAACAAGTTGCAGAAGAATGAAGTTAAATGTTGGTACTTTTCGAATTTCTGATAATAGAGGCTGAATTACATTGGATGTCGGCAATTACCGATAATTACAAGTATATGCCTATGATTCCCACACTCTGGTACCACATATATCTGTTGCCTTCCTAGATGTGAGGCTACGAAATCTTCTTCTTCTGCTCTTCAACACTTCATACAAAAGATGTTGTAATTGCCTTTCTCTTTGCGAATTGAATCGTATATACCGAAGACCAAGATCTTTTGATTCGATTTTAAATCTGCAGATAATACTTTTTCACAATCGTGCTGCGATGCTCTTTTCACGCATCCATGCCTAATGAGCAATGCCACATTCAACAGCAGCACATCGTAGTTCCGAATATCACTCTATGGCTTGCTGACTCCGTCCCATGCATTCATCCAACTCGGCCGGCAGCAGTCGGTCAGCCGTCTTCACACTCGTTCTCGTCCTCATCCTCAACCTTGTCGTCGTCGTCGTCGTCAAATGGCAGTGGCGGATGGGCTTAAGTGCTTCACTGGCTGGCTGCTCGTCCTGCGTTTGGCATTTAGCATCAGGAAATAATGCTGACGCTGCCAACTAGCCATGTTGGCCGGACTGGGATGGGCCGGTACCGAAGCGGGACGGAACTAGTCGAGCTGGGCGATGTGGAGCAATCAGCGGCGTCTGCAGATGTGAATGCATGTCCATGTCCATGTCCCATGTCCCTCGTATCTGTCGTATCTCTCTGCTCCGTGCAGCGCTTGCGCCTGCTTTCTGTTGTCCTCATTAAACACACACACACAGACACACGCAGGCTCGCAACACATGAAGAGACAGACACACAAGGACACCCGCTCTAATGAGTTCCAGGCCCTTGCTCGCATATGTTGGGTGCACTCGTTGGCTGTATCCTCGTTGCGTTTCAGCTGGCAGCCCAGCCACCGATACTCCTTCTCTTACTGCTACTGCTGCTGCTGCTGGTGCTTCTCGTCTGCTGTGTCACACATCTGGGTGAAAATTATGGCACATTTCAAATAGCGCAACATACACTGCCACTTTTCGAATGGGATATACGTGCAGAAGGTTGAATGAGTTCGAATGGATACTCCAGAAAGATCAGATTAGTTAGCCAACCTGTTCAATCAAAAGGTAACTCTGTCTTCTAATATTAAAGCCATTTACCTTAGCTACTCGTATTTTATAAAAGTTTACTTCTAAATCTGGAATAGAGCTCTTAACTGGTGCCCATTGGCAAACATCGAAAAGGATCTAGGAGTGCACAATTTGAATGAGCAAGCTGCACAATACATGAGGAGTCTTCGAAATCATCCAAATGTTCTAGCAAGGCGTTTGCTGCCACGGCGCTTAAAAGGAGGACTTATAATGAAAAGAAGGCCTAAGAGGTCACACCCTACCGACCTTGCCAATAGATTCATATAAACTATAAATAATATGAAATGTAAATAGGTCTTAACTCCTAGTTTAAGCTGTAATTGTATTCTTCTATAATTTTAATTTAAGGTATTAACAGTATAATTCGTAAAAAGAAATGAATAGAGCTCGCTTATTGCTATTAATGAAGTCACATTTTTTTGGATAGGTAGATAAGTATTTCTAAAGCGACTGGCAGTAAAAGCAATATCTTGGCTGGCAACTTAAAAGGAATCATGACCGGACCCTATATACGAGCCCAAATCACAATTAATTTATGCAATGTTTAACAGGCAATATTTTCAATACTAATATAGATATCACATGTATTCATATATTTTCTGAAAAATCATGTTATTCCCTTAACTTTAGAAAAAAATTATTGTTTTTACTTCCACCAACAGTAACATTATTTTCTTTGAATGATTTTCTTAACTCATAACATAATGATTACGACATTTCAGTTGCTCTGTCATATGTTCTATAGGTAGCTTTCGGCATTTGGAAAACCTGTTGATAACTCTGTAGTGGAATTAGTAACATTTATGGATCAATTTTGGTTTTGGCACAATTTTATTTAGGACCTGCCCCACAATATTTTACTCAGCAGACCTGCCAAGAGTAGAATGAGCTGAGCTCTTTCAAATGACACTGTCGTACCATATTGTTATGATCATTTTGATCAGTATATACAAATACGAATAGGTTGGCTTATACACTATATAAGTATATAACAAAAGTTGGTACTTTCTATCATAGAAAGGAAAGTGAAAAATTTTAAAAGTATTTCCAATGTGAAATCTGGCTCCCATTGTTTGTAACACAGAAAGTACAATTGTTCGATTTACAGCTGAAGCTGAGCATAAGTTTTCCATTTGCATTCGAATGCTTATTTTTTGCAGTGTAGAAGAATTATGGCGCATGGGGAGAAGCGCTGCAGTTTTGCAGCTAGAAAGAGCGCGCGATAATCATATAAAAGTTTACATTTATGATGCCGATGCCCAAGCAAGCACAAGGTTCGGATAGGTGCAGAGCTTTCCAACGTTCGCACACACACACACACGCACACACACAACACACACACATATACACAGATGGCTGCACAAACAACGGGACCGTAAAACATTCGGCTGACGGCAGCATACAAAGACTGACAGAACTGGCGGACGGGCAGATGTTTGAGCGCGGCACTCAGCTGGGCCATAGGACTGGGGTTAAATGCGCTGCTGCTGCTGCAGCGGCGACAACAACAACAACAACAACAGCAGCAGCAACTGCAGTACGAGTGCGAGTGCGACGAAAACAAAAAGGCGCGAAAATCCATTCGCACATAAAATGCGCCACAGTGTGCATTATTTTAATGTCACTGATAAATCATTTTTATGTCGGTGCTAAATCAAAAGATGGACGAGCAAATGCCGTATTTCAAGCGTGGCAGGCACGACTAACGGGCCCAAGCCCAAGCCCATGCCCATACACAAGCGCCAGGAGAGTGAGGTGCGGAGCCGCATTCGGTCGGTGTCACACACATGTAGTGGCAGAAGGTAAGGTCGGCCACTGCCGTTGCATTCGTCCATTAAAATGCGCTACGTTGTCCAAAACACGGCACATGCACAAAAGGTGCTCCGTTTTCTCCGCTGCCGCTCTCACCGCCATCGCTAGATGGCGCTGCAATCTGCCAAAGGCACGCTTATTTATTATTAACACAAAAAATACCCCGAGGACGAATTGCAGGCAGTAGTCGAGCAAAGTTGCGCGCATTTGCGCTGCTCCTGTGCCTTCCCTTCCCATCGGGCATCATGCCCCATTTCTCCCATTTCTCCCACCTGCCCAACGCCCGCCTCCCGCTCACTAGTCCATAGCATCATGGCTGCTGAAGAGCCCGCTGAGTGGCTCATAATTCGTCGTCGTCGCTTTTCCACTGCAGAAATTCATCTGTTTGCGGTTCAAAAACGTGCCGTGCGAGAAATAATGTGCAACGGAATCTGCCACGACTAATGGCCATGCAGTAGAAATGCTCTTGGAATGGTCGCCGAACATGCCCCGAAATGTATGCTATGAAAAGTGTTTGCTCTGAACCGTACTCAGACCTACCACTACAGACATACTTATAGATCAGACGCTCTAAAAATTTGCAATATTTAAATAAACATCTTCACGTATTTTTAGAATGTTAAAAATTTCAACTAAAATTGAAAAATGATTTGCAGTCAATTTTAATTGACAAATCTTGCAAGTCTTAAGAATTTCCACACCACAACACTGATACATTGCCATTCAATTTTATTCTACTTTGAATATTAGTCTACTTATACATCGTTTGTGATCTGCAAAATAATGAAACGATCACAGTTCAACGAATTCTCAGTCATATTTTAAATTCCACAATAGAAATTACAAAATCCATTCCCCAAAATTCTTCTACCAAATCATCATGGCTTTTACGTCATAGCACAATTCGTTTTCGTAAAATTTAAAAGAGTTTTAATTTAAACAATTTTTTTTATCAAAATTTAGCAATTTTTTATGCATAACAATGTCGTTGGGAAAAGTGCATCGTGAATGGTCGCGTTCGATCAAAGTACTCCCTAAACATAATCTTGTTGTGCGCCCTGGGCCGCATTTGAAGAAGTTTATTCCCTCATATGAACAAGATGTTAGTAGCAACCATAGTTTAAGTATTTTTCAGACGTTCTTTGACAGCGGCATTTTCTCTTCTCCATCAGTCCAGTCCTGAGTGCATGAATATGATTATTGGCTGGGAATACGCCCGAATGTGGTTGCGTGAACGCGACGAATTCAGAAAGTTGCGGGATAGAGCTGCAAAGCCACAATTCATTGAAAACGACTATGAATGGTGGCTGAAGCTGAGGAAAACCAACAAGCGATTCTGTTGCATCACCTAAGGCTACAAAGGTGTAGGCGAAATTCTATAAAATTGTATTACAAAATCACTCAGTATTTACATATTTTAATGAAAATAAATTAGCTACATGAGAAATAATTTGACGATTGTTTTATGTGAGTGTAGCCGTAGTCTCTTGTGAAAAGTTTACGGAAACAAATAAAAGAACTTGAGGTGCCATAGAGGCATCATTTCGATAACAAAAGCCATATTCTTGTGGATTAATGTAAACGAAATGAGATGAATGAGTATACCAGAAAGTCTAGACGCCAAAAAGCATAGAATATGCAAAAGGAAGCTTACTATAAAGGCAACAGAGCTGCTTCATAACAAACCATTACTGCTAAATAGGTACTGCTAAGTTTACGGGATCATTAATGAAATGTCTTTAGATCATCTCAAAACTGCACTTTAATTATTTAAACTGCTGATTTAGTGTCTTTTTTATTCGATTTCATTTATCTATTCTGAACCCCATCTAAGTTGTAAATTTTATAAACAGAAATAGCAGAAATAATAAAAATATTTGTTCCTAATACACACAAATAGAAACATAATAATTAACTGGAAACTAAACTCGTTTTTCTTAACATTCTATATTAAAAATTTAATTTTATTTGCGGAACGGTTGCAAATGCTTTGCGAGAATAATGGGGAATTAATTAAGCAGAAATACTTGTAAAATTATTTTAGCAGATTCCGATTCTTTGCTCCTTCATATCTCTGCAGATTTTAAGAATTGTGTTTTCAATAAAGAAAAATGTAATTGTAAGTTAAATTATGCGAGCTGTAGAAGGAATTGATTGGCATATCCAGCTATCAGCTTTTTTTTTGTTGACTTTCCTACAACAAACCTTAGTTTATATGTACTTGTTAATTAACCTCTAATAATTCCATAATGCGCAAATTGGCATGAATAGAAAGAGTAATGAAAGATAAGAAAGTTTGTAAGCAACTGGAAATTACCAGAACTACAAGACTGCCAAGATCTAGAAATTTCCTCAATGCAACCAAGAATTTTTTATTTCAAAATCAAATGGCGAATGGAAAAAAACGGTAATTTTAGGCCTTCTGCGGCATTCAGTCAATTCATTTAAATTTTAATTGTTAGCAGAGCTATTAAGATTCGTAACAGAGAACAAAGAAGGTAACGTGCTTTTTGTTTCCAATTTGCGGCAGAAAGACGTAGTTCGGTATGCGAAAGCCATTTGGTCATTGTGTCATTTTGAAGCTGTTGGAGATTCGTAGAGCTCCTGGTGCGAGTTCTACTTCCTCGGATTTGCTTTAGGAGCTGAGTTTGTTGATCACAAACGGCACAATCCGAATGACAGCGCAAAGAACGGCGAAAACGACCAAGTTGGCCCGAACTTCTGCCTTGTTGCGCTCATCGTCCTTGGCGGGCTCAAGTTGCTTTGTACGAAACATCTTGACTGAAGAAACGTGAATTTTACTTTGATATTTTTGTACAATAATCAGTGCGAAGTTTATTTAGAGACTAAACAATTACAATGCTTCCTGTGACTTGTCGAAAACCGCCTGCTGGGATAGTCGCAATGAACATTTTTTGAATCATAATTATTTTTTTTTTCTAGCTTACTCGTAGTTGTTGAGATTTTTTTTTGAATTAGCAGAGTGTTTTTATTTAAAACTGTCCATCGTGGGCAATCATTAAATTGGTTACATCAATTTGACAATTAATTTATTTCATTTATGATGAGGTTATAGCTGTTGAGATGAGAGTGTGTATAACAAACATACATATAACAATTATTTTTCAAAACTAAAAGTGCAGGCTTATTATAAAGAAGATTATTTAGGGGCTTAGCATAGCTCAACGAAATAGAAGGAATCTCAAAATGTGAGTTCGTTTCAGAGTAGGCACTCGGTTCTAATCACGTTCCAACCATTATGACATCAGCATGATTACGAAATTTAAAAACCGCAAGTAAAGCTTAAAAATGTACAAACAAAAAATAAATAACATGAAAAATATTGTCCAATAAAACAAGCCGATCGGAAATAGCAAATAATGGGAATACCTTAATCATTGTCATAGCCCCAACCGAAATGATGAATTGTAGTTGGCAGCAGGAGGCGTGGAAGCTTGGAATCAAGTGAACGATCGCTCGAAAGCTTGATCTAATCTTAATACGAGTATACACATATCGCCTCGCCATATTCTAAATTCTTGCCGAAAGAGTTACAGAACGGCTCGTTGCCATAAACACAAGACAATTAAATTAGAATGCATGTCAGCAGATGGAAATTAAACAGCCAGGATCTGTGTGAGCTCACTTGGCCGGAACGCGGCCTGCCTCTGTCCGTGTCCACAAAGACGCTTCAAACAGCATCAATTTCCGCAAAATTGCGTCACTAAATTACCATAACGGCGTGTCGGGTCCCCCCTCTTCAGCCGGAGTTGAAACGAAAACTAACGGAAACATGTAACGCCAAGTTAAGAAACCAAACAAAACAGCAAGACAAGACAAGACAAGTGAGAGACGAGTCGAGTCGAGTGAAGTCGAGACGAGATGGAAGGCCGAGGTTGAGGTTCAGGTTGAGGTTGAGGCGGGACCCAAACAAAGAAACAGCGAAAAATGCAAACATCAGCAATGCGGCACTACCTGGTCACCCCTACCTCTAGCCAACCCGAAGAGCACTTGCGAGGTCAGGGGTTGGCGTCGTGTCCCACAGGACTTGTAAATAGCAACAACACGGCACAAAACAAGTTAAAAAGTTTTTGCGCAAATTCGTTGGCGTTTCTTCTTCGCTGGTTGGAACCAAACAGAACCACCAACATAATCGTTTCTCATTTCAATGCTGGCTGGTTGGCTGGCAATGGGACGCGGCAAGGATAGGGAGTGGGACATGGACAGGGCTTGTAGTCCTCGACTACCCGCTCACCTTAGTCTATACTGTTAGTCGCTGGGTTTCTTCACTTTGTGCTGGGCCGCAATTTAGTTTTGAACGTAATTTCTTTTAATAGCTCCAGTCGACAGATAAAATTCAGCAAACCACTTACACACACACACACACACACATACACTTCCACACAATAGGTGTAGGTCTCGCGCCCAGTTACGAGAGATCTCAAAAAGTGTCTGACGTTTCGAAATTGTAGGCGGGGTTGGGTTGGTGGGATGGTGGGATGGTGGGGGGTCAATGGTTGAGCGGGCGCGTCGCCGGCGGATATCGCAACTAAATTGCTTAATTTTGGCACCGGGTGGGCTGCTTAGGCCACGGCACTTGTTTTGTTTTATTGAGCATCAGTGGGCGAGGGCGCGGTTGAGAGTGGTGGCAGTGGCAGTGGCAGTGGCTGTGGCGGGCAACTGAAACTTGTGCTTGAGGTTGACGTTTTCGGGCATGACGATTTCATTTGCATTTTATGATAATTGAACTTCATAAATATGTCACGGCAGCATCTTAAAAGTGCCAGCGGTAAGTACACACACCGTTTGTTCTTTGAGATAAATGCGGAACAGAAGCAGAACCCCCCAAACGCCCAAGCCCCCCTAACCACAAGTCATCCACCAAACCGCCCGAGACCGAGGCCTGTGCTTCATAATTATTTTGAAGTGTCGCCATTAATTTGAAATACTTATGGGCATGTGGGCTGGACCCATAAACTGCTAAACAAACGTGGATTAAGGTTACATTTTAAATATGCTAAATATATGTATGACAATGATGATGATGAGATGGTATGGCATGGCATGGGATGGTATGATGTTGCCGATGGTGTTGTTAAATTGCTTACAATGTGGCGACCCTGCCTTGTCGGGCAATTTTCAGTGGCCCTTAAAAAGTTGGCAAGGGCTTAAGGTGTTCGAATAAGCCTTATATTACCATAGCTATGCATAATTAGACAGTACAGGTATCTTTCAAAACTGTGCCCAGTAAAAACACGTTGCTTTGCGTATCACTTTTCATTATTAAAGCCAATTTAAATCATATGGTTTGATGGTGTTTTCAAAAATTCCAAAGTCAGCTTGTACTTTTTATGGCCCCTTATATCCTTTTATCGTATTACCAATAATTAGATAGCAGCCCTTCTCGTTCTTCAAATCAAGAGCATTTAACGCCTCATTAGAATCAGAGCATCTGCATTTCCAACAATTTCGCGTGAATAGCCACATTTATCTTAAGTGCGTCACATTAAACACCAAAGACCAAAGACCAAGGACCTAGAACCACCACCCACCAAGCCACAATAGCTGCAAGAACTACAGTCGGGCATAAACAGGATATATGGCCGCAAATCCCAGCTCCTTGCAAACGACAATGAATATTAATGAGATGTCATCAGTCTTTCGTCAAATTAAAACGCACAACCAGGCGAGTAGACAGACACAGGGACACAGGACGAGGTTAGCGACGTCTCTTGTTGTTGCTGTGCGCATATCCTGCGGTAGCTTTTGTAATTGTTGGCAACACAACACGAATAAATCAGCTAGAAAACAGCTACTACTATATACTAGTTCACGTACCGTGCCGTCTTTCATGAGGAATTTCGGCAATTTGTTTTGCAGTATTTAAGTATTCCATCAGCTGGGAAGGTGCCAGACCGCCATATCAACCCTTTCGGGTATGTCCTAGACCCCGACTTCGCAGTCCCTGTCGCAGTAGCAGTCACACGTCAGCGCACTATCATCACGCTTGTTTACACGCATAATTATGTGTGCCGGATTCCGGGAATAGCTACCAATTCGCGCCTCAGAGACGAAGCCAGCCGCACCGCAAGTCACTCGGCATCGCGTCACATCCGCCACCCAGGGTTGACAGAGTATCTGAGCTTGACAGGACAAGAACCTGGAGCTGGCTGGCGTTTGGAGTTTTGGGTGGATTGTTGCGCCTTAATGCTTCGTGACAGATTTCTCACTTGAACTTAAGATGACGTCCCGTGTCACAATTTGATGCTGATAATATGTTAATGAGGTTTGTTTATTTGATTTATATTCCCCTTGTCAGCAGCGTGCCTGTGTCTTGTGGGCTCTGGCTGAGCTCTGGAGCTGCAATACCAAATTGTTAATGTTTATTCAAATAACAGTCAAGTGGAAGTTAATCGCTTGCGGTGAAGATTAACAGCTTAAAAGAGGTGTGACAGATTATCCCTCTAAACAGACTGTGTTCAAGATTGATTGTGTATTTGGTTTTGATGCGAGTATATTAAAGACTGAAAGAAATATGATGACTTATCATTTGGAATTTAAATGTGTTTATTTATTTAATGCACAGCCTTAACTCATAAGTGAGCGAAATAAAGCGAACATTTACGCGCAATTTGATTCTTTTTCGAATACGATAAAAGTGTTCAACTTCGATTCGACAAGTTTAAACGATTTTCAGGAATTGGGAAATAAATTCTCCGCAATACTCGTTAAAGCACTGAATTAAATATGAAAGACTCGTGGGTTTTTTAAATTCCCATGAAAAGTATATTAAAACAAACCTCAAGATCAATCGATTGCAATGCTAGTAGAGTAAAGGCGTTGAAGATTTAGAGCTGATGTTGGAAAAACCCCAGCATGATCATTTTCCACACCCCTCCCCCTTTTTTCGAACTTCTGAATTCAAATGCAACAAATATTTAATTAATATCTAGCATTAGCTTAACCTCCAAAGCTCCTGGTTCGTCTACGCAAGGATCTTGCTTGTCCTTGTTGTGCTCGTCGTTGAGCCCTTAAACGTGTCGATCTGTATCCTCTTCTCAACGATTTAGTAATGCAGTCACACATAAACCCTACGCCCTGGAGTGCAAAGTCCATTATAGTTATAAAGAACGCATCGGTCTCTCTAAGGGGCTCGCTCAAATATATAAAGCAGTTGTAGACCTTCTCTAGCAGTGTTACAACCATTATAGCCAATGTGATAAGGAATAGGTTGATGTGGAAAACCACTTCGTCCTTCATGCCTGCGAGCCAACCATGCACTGATTTCGAAAACAGCTTGTTTGGGCTTGACATATCGAATTTTTGCGTTTTCAATTCTATGTACACTAAAATTTTGGCCACAATTTATATTTGTCAGATTTTCTATACAGCCAACTAAAATTTTAGAAACTGTTAACACCAGTTCGGTTAATATAAACGAAAGGTGAAAGGCCATAGGCACTCTATTATGGGTAAATACGGGTATATGATTGGCATGATAAGACGAATCGTTAACCATGAAGAAAACAATGTCCGTTGGGGTCGTCTGTTCGATTGTCTGCAGACCAAGTTGATAGGAAACCGTATATAGCAGAATTAGTTTATGATGCATACGATTTGATAATTAAATTAAATGTTTTCAAAAAGAATCCCCTTCCAAAATCAAGAAACCCCACACATTTTTTGAAGCCACTTCTACTAGAATAAACTAAAAAGGGTCGATATATATATATATATATATCTTTTTTTGTGGCCTTTATATCTTATGTATATGAAACCGCTGTTAGCTACTAGGGATCTTAATATTTAAGTGTTAGTATAGGCAACCATTCCTATTTGAGCTCCAATTATATATGCAGATAAATATTATGAAAATATACAACTCAGACGCAGCCCAAATAACTTTAATTAAAATAAGTTTGTTTGTAAAAAAGGTTAAATCAACAATTCATGTCATCATCCATGTCTTCTGGCGTCTCTGGGTAACCAAATTTTCGGGGCGTGTCTACCTCGGATGGCTTTCGAAGTACAATCGCAGATGAATTTCATAAAATTGATCGCATAACTCATGGCGGTAACTAAATACTCGTGTTTATCAAGTAAATATCTATATGAGGAGAATACCTTTTTGAGCATTGTCAGTATAAATATAATTGTCTTCAACACTATAACTTCTATGGTGAGAATGAATTTGTCCTTATCAGGTATATGCCAGCCTTGAATGCATTTTGGAATCATCGCAAATATATTCTCGGGTTAAGTATTGTGTGTTTGTAGATCGTTTCATGTATTGTGAACAATTGTTTGCTGTTTAAAGGCTAATGTATGTATGTATTAATGTATTGGCAAGGCCAACTATATAATAATAATATTTGAATATAAATAAGGATGACAATAATAATTTGCTCACTGTTATAAAAATCCATAAAAAGCTGCAACATTTCGAAGAAATTTCTATGTGTACAAAAATAGTTTAGCAAAGTTTAAATACCTGGTATCTTCACTGTACTGTTGTGGATCTTTCCCTGGAAGAGACTGTAAAGCTCAGGAACGGGCTCAGACGGCTACGATAGTTAATAAAATTCCCGCTTATCGTAGTCGAGCCAAAGAACAGAGTATCCTTCACATAGAGCCCTGAAAATATGAAATTTGTCAATCTTTTGTGGTTTGACAAGTGCTTTATAATGGATATAGATTTAGTAGAACAGTTTATCCAACAAGTATCTGTAGATTGTACAAATTATTTTTTTAATTTGAGCAACAAACTATTCCTTAATGAAATTTAGAATAGGATTTATGCTCACTATTGATAATTGAGGAATTTTGTGTGCTGATTTAAATATACATTTTTAAAATATCCGACAATAATAGTGAGCTAAACAAGTATTCAAAGGAACTTAAATTATAATAAATGTAACTTATAAACAAGCAATAAAAAGGGAGTCACCGGCCTATGTGAAATTAGCACTCAACAAATGGGGCGAGCACGCTGCAACAGTCTGGCAACGCTTTGTTGTTGTTATTATCGAGCTTCGATAAATGAAAGTTGACGCTTGTTTTCTGTTGAGAAATTTATGAATTCCTACTTCTTTTGTTTTTGTTGTTTTTCGAAAACGTAGCATGCAATGATTTTTATTACATTACTCGTACATATTTTTGTGCCTGAGGTGTACATTATTGTGTAGCTGAGACAATTTTTGCATTAGTGATAAAAGCATAAGCAGTGGCAAAGAGTTGGACAAGTTTACCGGTAAGTAGTTAAAGTTAAAGGTTTTGTTAATTCAATAATTCGTTCTATCCTTACAGTTGGGTAAATTGTTGAAGTACTTCAATAGGATTTCGTTTCATTGTCATTACAAGATAACTGCGCATAAGCACATTGTTGTGTTGGGTTTGTTGTGCGAAATCTGTGCGCCTGCGCTCTTCCTGGAATAACATGTGGGCGTAAGCCCGCGATTGTATTCGCATTGGTTATAAAAATAGCTGAAACCAAAAATAAAAAGTAGGTAGCGTCTTTTTGTTTCATCAGATACGCACTTCGTAACTCAATCTTCGGCAGATTTCCTCTGCCATGGCCACGAAAGATGACGCAATCAATCTTGAGGAGCAGTTCGTGGACACAGTCGAAGAAGGCGTCGTGGGGGAAGTGGTCAGTTCGAATGAAACTATTGCCATTTCGAATAGCAAAGCATTGGACTATGATTCGATAAACGCGGAAGCAGAAAGCCCAGCAACTACGGATCTGAAGCCAGTGGATCTGGAGGATGGTGAAGTCGTGGGTGTGGATGAGAAAACTGGAATTAAGTCGATGCCTATATGTCGCTTCTACATGCGCAATGCCTGCACTTGGGGCTCCCTTTGTCGCTTTCAACATCCGGGCGATACGGTACAGGATGGCAACAACCACACGTCCGATCGGACGCCAATAGCACAGCCCATCTATAACTATGCTGGCAACGTTCAAGCGTATGACGTGGCCTACGGTTGGACCCCTTATGATGTGTTGAATACATCCTGGGATCGGAATCTACGTACGGTCAAGCAACTGTTGTATCGCAATGGAGCTCCTATGCCTGTGACTGATATGGCGTGTTATATGCACCCTTCCTTGCAAACTATGCCACGATATGAACGTGGCCATTACCAGCCAGGGACTCAGCCGCAACCAGAAACGCTGAATCCGTCCAATTCTCAATTTCCTATGCATGATCTGGATAGGGATCCATATTACTCACAGTCTTGGGCATCGCCACCACGCCAGTGTGAGCGAGCCCCCTTATTGCCAACGCCCATATTTCCGCCCCAGCCACAAATGCGTTACGCACCGCCGCTGCGCAGTCCCGTGGCGTATGGTCGTAGCAACCGACTGCCTTTCGTGCCACGCGCTATTAATGTGGAGCGACGCATGTGGACCAGCCAACCAGCCTGGATATCACCAGTGCGCTGCCCTTACCGACCACGCATCAGTCGCAGTCCAGTACGTCGTCCGATCTCACGAAAGAAGAGCAGCGTCAGCTGCAGCAGCAGCAGCATCAGCTCCAGTGACTCGTGCTGCTCCCGCTGCTCTAAGAAGAGCAGCAAGAGATCCAGCAGCCCAGTCAGTCGACGTTCAGATCGCCGTCGCCGGCGCCATCGTCAGCAAAATCGAGAGGAGACTCCAAATACACCATCACACGCATTCAACCGTTCACCGACTTGCTCAAGCAAGAGCAGTGCCACCACGAGTTGCAGCAAACAACCGAGCAACCCCACTGGACGCCGTTTCGGCCTGCGTCACTATCGTCAACACCAGCGACGCAAGCTCGGCAAGGCTGGTCTATTGGATCGCTCCGAGTCTCCAAGGCCAAAAACTTCACCGTTAACGTCACGTGAACGCAAGCGCTCGCCATCTTGTTCTACAAAGAGCAGTGAGACAACGGTCTGTAACAGAAAAGCCAGCAGTCCTGTGGGGCGTCGTTTCGGCCTTCGCCACTACCGCCAACACCAGCGACGCAAATTGGGTAAAGCTGATCTTTTGAAGAGTGCAGAATCCTCAAAGCCGGAAACTCCAACGCCACAGGAACGGAGGCGCTCGCCGTCTTGCTCCTACAAGAACAGTGATGCAACGGCTTGCAACAACAAGCCCAGCAGTCCTCTGGGGCGTCGTTTCGGCCTTCGCCACTACCGCCAACACCAGCGACGCAAATTGGGTAAAGCTAGTCTTTTGAAGAGTGCAGAATCCTCAAAGCCGGAAACTCCAACGTCACAGGAACGGAGGCGCTCGCCGTCTTGCTCCAACAAGAGCAGTGACGCAACGGTTTGCAACAACAAGCCCAGCAGTGCTGCTGGGCGTCGTTTCAACCTTCGCCGCTACCGCCAACACCAGCGACGCAAATTAGGTAAAGCTGGCCTTTTGAAAACTGCAGACTCCTCAACAAAAAATTCGCCTCCAAACAAGCGCAAGCGTTCACCGTCGGAGCCGCTACTACGTGTACGTGGTCCTCGGACGCCTTCCTACAGCCCGCCAAGCGACAATGAATCGTCGCAAGATCGTGGTCGTAGCTGTTCAGCTAAGACGATACGACGTCAGTTCCGTAGCCGAAGCAGCACGTCTATTAACTCGTCAGGTTGTCGAGCTGGATGCTCGCCACGTAAGCCATGGAAGACCCTGTCCCTTAGTTCGGGATCGGAGAAACGATGCTCGAAGAAGAGTCCAGACGTTGCCATTTCGGATAATATTTTGCCTGATTCGTCTAAGCCGGAGAGTGAGATTCAAAAGCGGAAGGCACGACAGGAGTATTTGTTAATGAAGTTGCTGTTTGTGGAGGAGGAGATAAAAAAGAAAAAGCAAAATATGAAACGGGAGCAGAAGCCAGCAAAGCCTGAGTAGGTACGAACTAATGCGAATTTGATTATAAATGGATTAATGGGTGCCAACATGCAGAATATCAGCATGGTGCGACGAATCGATATCGATATACAGTATGTCCGTGCGCATGTTCGATAACTTTTTATAAACCAACTGAACTCGATCGATTTTTCTTAGCCGTACCCCAAGAATAATTTGGTTATTGATGTAAATATATTGAACAAGTTTGTCATTTTTAAGTTGGAAGTTAATCTGGAGCTTTATCAAAAGCGTCACATAACAACGATTTTTTTTAGTTAAAGAAGTACACATAAATCCTTTTCGTTTACCTGTTTTCTAAGGGGGAAATACAACTTTACAGCAATAATAACATTTTCAACTTCTTCCACAGGCTGCACTGAATGTGTTGAAGACTCCATAAATTGATGTAATATGCTAAAAGTTCCAATGTACTCTCATGATTTAAGAATATTTTTATCTGCACAATAAATTTTGGTTAACATTAATAAATAATTCGTAGTAGTAATAATGTTAATTTTTAAAAACAATTTTACGCTGCAAATTAAAGTTTTAGAATATTCGAACAGCTGGCAGGAAAACGGAGCATATTTTATAATTTTTCGAACTTCTGTGTGTGCTGTAGCCGAGAAGGCGTATTCATTTCCATTGCCAGTGCCTGTATAGTCCTCTAAGCACACAGTCACAGTGATTGCAATAAGTGTGCGTTCTATATGCGTTCTGTGTGCGTGTACACCCGTCTGCTAATTTCCTTGTTAATATTATTAAACATTATTTATGGATTTGTTTAATTTGTATTTAGTAACGCTTTGCTGCGCAACACTTTCCCGTCTAGGCGAGCGCACGTGCCTGCCTGCCAGTCTGCCTGCCCGCCTGCCCGCCTAAGATGCGATTCGACTGCTCCTTGTGGTCGTGAAAAGTTGTTTACCCTGCACTGTTCTGTAGCTCCGCTCTGCTCTGCTCTACTCTCTCTGTCCATGTCCCTGTCGCTGTGTGTGCGTGTGGGTTGCACTGCCAGCTGAGCCAAGTGTCCGCATATCCTTGGCTGGCGTTGTTTGTTCACAGGCGCCGGCAGCGGCGCCGGCAGAGCGTTGCCCTGGTGGAACAATTACATGGTCTTGCCTAATGAATTTATCTGCTCATCAGCATCTTCGCAGTTGCATGCATGGCGGCCATGGAATCATCCGAAACCCATGCCGTGTTCGCATGTGTTTTGCGGTCTGCTATTGTGGGTGGAATGTGTAGAGGAGGAGGAGGAGGAGGACGCGACGAGGGGGAAGGGGGGCATCTCAGTAAATTTTATGTAGATTTTCCAACACGAATTATGTTCATTTGGCTCTGTGTTGCATGTTCTTATGGCCATTTCTGTGCCATCCTCTCCCAGGTTCGTGCCGCCTGAAGCTAGTTTATGAAAAACTCATGCGCAAAATAGTTGAAAGTTTGTATCCTTGCAACACCAGAAGCAGCCAAAGCAGCAGCAGCATCAACACAAACAAACAAACATTTTCGTTTGATTGGGGAACAATTTTATTAGCATTTTAATCGTGATTTGTTGCGTGCGGCAGAACGGATAAATTTATAGATTAAGTTTTCATATGGTGATAATTAATAGAGTTATTTCCATTGCTCCTCATACTGTTGTACTCGTAGGATTAGTTGACTGTGTCTTCAGCTTGTACATTTCTGTAATGGTTGATTCATGTGCTGTATTTAAATAAAGTGTTTCGTTGTATTCATAGGCTTCTGCGCTAATTGGAAGCATTGCAGTTAAAATATAGGTAGAAAGAGTCCTTCTTCACTTCAGTTTCAAACGCGGCGCTATATTCATGCTGACGAGCTCTTGGATCAACAGCTTTGCGGCATAAGGCATGCGTACCTTGGCAACAATCGCTCGATCGTTGCACAGGCGACAATAGAAAGATGCGGTTTGCTTATTGGCAATTGCCAACATGCCGCATCTGTTGCACACGTAAACGGAATACGGATCGGAAAGCTGATACAACCGCTCGTGCAGGAAAGAAGCAGCGCCATGCGAGATCTGACAATCGCGCTCCATTTCGCCAAATCGAAGACCGCCGTCACGGGCACGTCCCTCCATGGGTTGGCGCACGAGAATCTGTACCGGACCCCGGGCACGGGCGTGCACCTTGTCGTCCACCATGTGCTTCAGTCTCTGGTAGTACGTGGGTCCTAAGAACACCTGAGCATTGATCTTATGGCCATTGAAACCATTATACATGATCTCATTGCCACGGGAGTGATAACTGTAGGCCTTGAGGGCCGTGGAGATCTCTTGCACGGTTTCGCCATCCGAGAAGGGTGTGGCATCGCCAAGATCGCCCGTGCAGGCAGACAGCTTACCCAACAGACACTCGATCAGATGGCCAATGGTCATGCGGGAGGGAATAGCATGCGGGTTAATAATGATGTCGGGTGTAATGCCTTCGTTGGTGAATGGCAGATCTTCCTGGCGGTACGTAATGCCGCAGGTGCCCTTCTGGCCATGACGCGAAGCGAATTTGTCACCTATTTGGGGAATGCGAGCGGAGCGCACACGAATCTTGCAGAACTTATGGCCATCGCTACTAACGGACAGCATTACTTTGTCGATAATGCCAGTCTCGGTGTTGCGTAGAAATGTGGAAGCGTCGCGTTTGACGTAGGTCCATCCTGTGCCTCCCTCCCCATTTGATTCGGTTTCGTCAATAAGAGTGATTGTCTTGCCAATTATGGCGTCGTCTCCAGAAACGCGTGTGCAAGGCGCAATGAGACCATCTTCCTCAAGCTTGTCATAGAAAGCCCGACGCATGCCTTTGCAAATGCCAAATTCGGGCTTCTCAAAACGTTCATCCTGATTCGCTGAGTGCTTCCGCTCTTGATCCTGATAGCAGCGATAGAATACGGAGCGCAGAAAGCCGCGGTCCACGGCGCTTGCATTCAATATTATAGAGTCCTCCTGATTGTAGCCAGTATAGCAGAGAATGGCGACAATGGCATTTATGCCGGCTGGCAGTTCTGCAAAACGTAGATACTTCATGGAGCGTGTAGTGACAAGCGGCTTCATCGGATAGTACAGCACATGGGCCAATGTATCCATGCGCATAAGGTAGTTGGTCACATACACCCCCATGGCCTGTTTGCCTGCGTACAAGAAGAGGTTGTTTAAGATTTGGGATAAATATTCCATCTCTCCCGCTCTTATATGAACTCACCCATTGCACTTTGATAGGTATTACGTGGACTCTGATTGTGGTCGGGAAATGGAATAATTGAGGCACACACGCCCAATATCATCGATGGATGGATCTCACAGTGCGTGTACGAGTTACACATTTCGGGATAGGCCAGGTCTGACGGACACATGGCAATCATGCAAGTATCCTCTTCCTGGGTATCAATAAACTCGATTATCCCATTTGCCAAGAGATTGTCCCAGGAGCCGCCACTCTCAGCACGATCTGTCAACTGTTCAACGTGCGTCCGCTTCAGCTTCAATTGGTTATTTTCTACGATCAGTAGCGGCCGACAGATACGTCCTGCATCGGTCTGTATGCGTATCTCGCCCTCATAGCTGTCATAGGTGATGGAGACCTCCGATAGAATCACATCCTGGCGACGTCGCATCGTCCGCAAACACTCAACTAGTAGATCGGGCGATCGATGTACACCGATCCAGGCGCCATTAAGAAAAAATCTAGTGCCCGACAGCACAGACATGGGAGGTATATCAGCCAAATGCTCCAGGGACCATTCATCCAAAAACTCCAGAATGACGGAAGGGTCGGATCCAACGGTGACATAAGCCATGAGCGCCATATTCTTAACCAGGCCAACAGCTACGCCCTCGGGTGTCTCGGCTGGGCATAACATACCCCAGAGCGTGTTATGCAGCTGTCGGGGCTTGGCCAGCTTTCCGTCTCTGCCAATCGGCGAGTTAACGCGCCGCAAATGGGATAGAGTCGACACATAGGTTAGACGATTCAGCACCTGTGAGACGCCGGAGCGTGACTGTGCAGACTTGCGCTGATCAGACCAATTGCCAGTGGCTAGAGCATAACGAAGGCCATCGGTTATAATGCTCGTTTTAACTGCCAGTTCCATGTTAAAGTCGCGACCTTTGTCTAGAAACTTTTGGGCATACATGCGTATCTCCTTCTGGAGATTTCTGAGCAGCGTGCGAAAGAGCAAAGCGAGCAAAGCCCCTGCCAGATCCAAACGCTTATTGGCATAGTTGTCACGATCGTCTAGCTCGCGACGACCCAGCGAGACCATCAGCAACTTATGCACCATATAGCCCACAAAGTAGATCTTCAAAGGTAGGGCAGTATTTGTTATGCCCACATGAGGCAACACTTCCTTCTCCACAATCTTGCGAGCGAACTCTAAGCGCTTCTCCTTGCTGACCCCAGGACGCACCCCACGCGTGCCAATAAAGTTGAGAGCCACCTCCTGTGATTGCACCACAAAGGCGTCTTGTATTGAGGGCCTGAGTGCTTCTAGCACTTCAGCATCGTCAAAGTCATTAATAATATGCTCTAGGATATCTCGATCCGCCATTAAGCCCATGGCTCGAAACAACACGATAATGGGCACCTCTTGCTTTATATATGGCAGCACGGCCACAACTCGCTGTCCAAAGATCAGTTTCTTCACATTAGCTGGGCTGTTGGCCGTCAAATTGATCCACAACGTCGAAGTGGGCTTCGAGCTGCACTCTAGACAAGAGCGCACCTCCGTCTTGTATACATATCTGGTGTCCTTGGTACGAAATACGTACGCGTTGTTGGTCGCCATTTTCTCTTGAGCAATCAACACCTTTTCCGAGCCATTTACGATAAAATAGCCGCCAGGATCAAGGGGGCACTCACCCAGCTGCTGCAGATCGTTGTGCGTGAGGCTCGTGAGCAGACAGTAGGCGGAGCGCAGCATCACCGGTATTTGACCCACATAAGTGCGCTGATACAAGGTCTCTACCGGTTCTTCTCCCTCCTCCGTTTTGGTTTTCCAAATATCAACATGGAGAGGCGCCGAGTACGTCAGATTGCGCAACCGGGCCTCATTGGGCATCAGCGGGCTGGGAGCGCCTTCTTTTTCCCAATGCGTCGGCTTCGATAGATATATTTGGCCGAATCTCAGAGAATACGTGGTGATCGGTTCCTTCTCCATTGTCTCGTGCTGCGGAGTGCTTTGCATTTCAACTGTTGGAGATCCTTCGATAATGCGCTGAATAGACACTTGCAGAAACTCATCAAAGCTGTCCAATTGCTGACGCACCAGACCCTTCTCGTCGAAATAGGAATCAATTACTATCCAGCAGGCCGCACGCCACATTTTCTCATCAATGGCGTCATTGTAGTTGGAGCCCCTATCGGAATCGTAGCTATCATCGTCATCGTGAAAGGATTCATAATCCTCATCATCAGACAGGCGGTGACCCATTCTCTTAATTTACACTTGATTCTAACGATTTAAAGAAGAGCAGAAACCGACTGTTGTTCGCTTTGCTAAATTGCAATTAGAAATGTCAAAACGAAATGCTATTTAGCACAGAGATGGCAACACAGTTCTTCAAACTAGACTAGTATTGACAAACGCTCTGCTGTTTTAGACTTCAAGCGGTGCGTGACTTCCTTGTCAGTCAAAAAGGCAGCTTTCTAAACATGGCAGCTGGCAAACATACGATTACAAAGACAACAGGCCCATCTACAGCTGCCGGCTTCAAGATGCCGTGCCAAGATCTGAAAACGCAAGCAAATATTTGGACTTGACATGACGCTGGCAGTGGCGGCATCTTTTAATTGTTTCTAATTTCTCTGTTGACTCTACTACCTGTCTAGGAGCATCTAGAAGCCTAAGGTGGCGGTGTAGGTGCATTTACATATCTACTCGTACTCTTGTTGACACACTCGCACGGGTAGGCGTGTGTGGAAATCCATTTGCACTTGCCGCTTGTTGGTTTTGGTTTCTCAAACACTGTCACGCTAGAAGTTGTGAAATGCCGCGCATATCCACATTTTAATTATTTCAAAATTAGCAGCTCCAGTCGTCTTTGAGTTGCCGCCAACGCCGGGCGCCTTTCCTTCCAAAGAAACTTACAGTTTTCATTATGCGCAGGCTTTACCTGGTTTTCTTGAGCAAACATCGTGAGCCCAACCGCCTTTTATGTGTAACCAGAGCGGCAGCTTCACAAGCTAAGCTGATCTGATTCTTTTAAGGGTTTTCAATCTACATAAATACATATTTGATTTGTTTTATAGGCCATTGAATTTACTTTCAAAAGCGGCACATCTTTTCTAAAAATACTCCTTATTTATATTTGTTAATTAAATGAATGGTATGCGCAAATAGGGGTCTAGCAGCAGATCGCTTAAATGCGCATTATTAACAAATACTTAATCTAGATATGTATACCCGTATGTAGAATATAGTATAAAGAAAAAACACTTTTTGGGTCCATCAAACACGCTTACAAATATTTATTTATATATACATTTCTATGTTTATTTATTTATTTTATTATTTTGTAATCTTTATCATTTCTAATAAAATATTTACAAAATTAGCATTACTAAACTGACACGATAACAAGCATGACATATTTTATCATTTTATAATGTAAAACTAACTAATAAATAATTTAGTCTTAAGAAAATCCAAAATTGAATTCCGATTTTTATTATTTATTACTATAGTAGTATAATTTTCATTTCTTTAATGCCATTACGAAGAAATTCTTTTTTCTTTCTAATAATTCTTTGTCTAAATTCTTTATTATAAACGTGTCGAAAACTAACTAATATATAGTACATATGCGAAACTCTGTTTAGCGACAGAGTTCTTAAAGTGTCTAGGGCTATAACATATAAGTAACTTCATTTCTTGCACTATGAAGTAATAAACAAAAATGTTATCTAAAAACAATTTATAATTTAATCTTAAATGCAAAGATTTATGACGCTTTTTTATTATTGCTATTACATATTAGTATATACTTGTATGTGGTGGCTACTAAATAGTGTACTTTTTACTATGTTACTTTAGCTAAGTTATTCTCTTGCAAGTTAGTTTGAATTTAAATTCTCAGCACTACAAGTATTAGGTTAATTTTAAATTAGTACGCTGTATATATACCTTAGAAATACATATTATCCAATGTTATCTAAAACAATCTCTAATTTAATCTTAAATATAAAGATTTTTGTTATTACATACTAGTTTTATGTGTTGGCTACTAAATGTAAATGTATAAATAGTATACTTTTTATGTTACTTTAGTTTAGTTATTCTCTTGCAAGTTACTTTGAATTTCAAAATACGTTTCACTGCTGATTATTTTTAAGTTATTCCACAGAATAATCTGTACAATAATTCGGTTCTTTTCGAGTAATAATTCTAATAATGAAAATTAGGGTCCTAGGTTTGATTCAAGAGTTGATGGCTTGGTTGAAAATTTTTAAAATTGAATTTTTAGAAGAAAATTAACAAACCGGGCCGACTATTTTCGAGCACAATTTTCTTCACTTCATCGAAGTTCTCCTGACAAGGACGACCAGAGCCTGTTTTGAACACTTTGTGCGACTCGTAAGGCTGTTTTTTGGACAAACAGTCCTCCTTAAAGGGTATCTGCAACATTTTAAGCAAATCGGCTCACAATCGGCACATTCATTCGCAACTTCAGATTTTAAACAAATTTTGTTTTCCATTATAGCAATCAAAGCCTAAACGATATCATATTCTCAGCTAAAGCAATTTTCTTTAATTGAGATTCTGCAACAATCCACTCAATGCCATCTCAAATTTGTTGACTAATCTGTAGCACAAAAGCCCACTGCGCCTTTCCATTTATTTACCACTGCTCCCCTCACTCCCCCCACTTATACTCTCTTTGTGTGGTTTTTACCTTTTCGCTGGCTGGTGGCTGGTGGCTGGCTAGATGGCTAGCTGGCTAGCTGGCTAAATGCACAAAAGTCATAATTCAATAAATAAATGCAAGGATGACATGTCGACAGTGCGGCAACATATCGCATCGAATGCACTCAAATGCGAAGCTGGGGAAAAAAATCAACTGTGTTGCAGTCGGGCGAGGGGGTGGGGCAGGAAGGCAGGAAGTTGGCGACGGGGCTGCAGTTAGGAAGGCCGAATGAATGAAGTAAAATTTACGGCCAGACATTGAGAAAAAACCCCCCTCTCAAAAAAAGAGGAATTGTTAGCGAAATGGGCGCGTGTTGTGTGAAAGATGCCATCGAAATATGGGGCCCTTTCCTTTCGTCCTTCTGCGGACGCAAATCTATTAACGTGAGCCACAATATTTGCACAAGGACATGTTTCAGTGCTTGACTGCGCGAAGTGCAGGTCCTGCCGCTGTCGTTGCACTGAACAGGTCGCGGACTTGCATGGTCACGCCGCCCTCCAGATATACAATTTGATTGGCAGCGACTACTGTATCCTAGAAATCATGGATGGGCATTGGCGCGGGGACAGAAGCTTGTGGTTGTTGCGGATTCTGCAGACATTCTGGCCATTAGGGTTAGTCAGTGAGGCACATATGTACATGTGTAGGAAATATTTGGAATACGTGGAATACTTTTCAATTAAATGGCTATTGTCAGAGCTTACAAACATTACTCGCAAGTTAGAGCTGCAAACAATTATTAAAATGAGAATAATTCTACTTCTTGTAGCAGTTTATTTCAAGTTTCTTTTTTTGTTGTTGTTGTCATTTAGTTCAGATTCTGCACAATTAGATTGACAGTAGAAATCAAATATTTTGTGTTCAATTTCTTTTAAGGCAAATCTGAATAATTAAAGAATTCTTAAATGCATTTTATTTTTAAAATCACAAAAGTACGCAGAGCTGTAATCAATTCTGTAAGTAGTCCTTTCTATTGATTTTATATAATTAAATGCGTTGTTAATTTTTTGTATTATTTTTATTTATTTCCATGAAAGATCTATTCTTTGGTTTGTGGTGTACTTCTTTAAAATAAAATACTACTTTCATTGAACTTAAACAAAATAAAGTTTAAAAAATAAATGAAATGTTCGAAATGAAAGAAAAAAGAATATTTCTACTTAATCTATCAGTTTCTTTCCAGTTTTTTGTTGTTTTTACAATTAGATTGACAGTAGAAATTAAATATTTGGTGTTATTTTTTATGAAAAGCCACATTCCAATAATTAAAGAATTTCTAAATGCATGAAAATATTAAATCAAACAAAAGTAAGCAAAAGCTGTAATTAATTCCGTTACTAGTCCTTTATTTTGCTTTCATATAATTCAATGAGTTGTCACTTGTTTTATTATTATTTTTATTTATTATTATTATTTATTTAGATTAAAAATCTATTGTTTGGCTTTTAGTCTACTTCTGTAAAATAAAATATATTTATTAAGCACAATCAAAAGAAACTAAAATAATAAATGAATGAAATGTTCGAAAGGGACGAAAAAAGAGGGCAATAAATTTTATAAATATGCGAGTAATGTTGAAAAATCAAAGACAGTTGGGAACACAATTACCAATAGTTGGGAAGTCAAGCTGAGCTGTATTTTATAAATCTGTGAGTCGGGGCATAGCTTTCCGGACTCACAATTAAATTTTTCCTTCAGTTGACTTCCTTCCTCTCTTATTGCTCCTATTCTAATATGTTCTTCTAATAAGTTCATAGTTAGGAAATAATCATAATTATTTTTTTCAATATTGCGAAAGCTATGTTTCGACTCACCCTCTATATACATAGTATAGTAGTATATACCAGTATATAGTCGAGTGTGCACACATATTAAGCAAAATATCTGCTGGTTGGGGCACACTCTGTGTTGTTGTTCGTTACAGACATGGTGATCCAGTGGGCTGCATAGCCACTCTGCTGGCACTGGACACAGGACACTCTTTTTCCGAGAAATTATGATGCATTTTTATGGATTTTCGATGTTTTTGCGCGGTGCAGTTTTTCAGACCGGACGCGTAAACTGAGGATTATGTTTCGTCAATGCTGCATGCAGCCTAGTGTCCATGGAACTGCGCCTATGACAATGACTTTGTGGGTTTCCTGAGAGGGGCGGGCGAGAGCAGCGGCTGGGGCAAGGGGTGGGGAGGGCCAGGTACTTGCCAACAGCTGGGGCGTCTCTTTGCCAGGCTTTTGGACTGTTGTGGTAATGCTTTGGGCCTTACTTTAGAGATGCGTTCGTGAGAAAAAGAAGATATTTTTCCATACATATTTATTAACGTACCAATCTTTCCGTTTCAAACATCAAAGAGTGTGTTTGTCGTTGAACAATTTAAGAGACTAGCCTTTCAATCTTGTTTATTTTACGGAATAAAACCTATTTTAAAAGATCTAAAAGATCCATCCAAACAACTGATGCTGCAGAAAATATATCACCTATTTAGCTTACTATATTTGAATATAAAGAATAAAGCTATTTATAACCAAAA